TGTGTGTAATTGTTTTTAGTGTGTGTTTTCGGTGTAGTGTGTGTAGTTATTTTTAGAGTGTGTTTTCGGTGTAGTGTGGGTGTATTTTTATGTGTGTCTTCGGTGTAGTGTGTATTTTTTTTTAGTGTGTCTTTCGATATCGTGTGTGTATTTTTTTTAGTGCGTGTTTTCGGTGTATTGTTTGTATATTTTTTAGTGTCTGAATTTTTTTTAGTGTGTGTTTTCGGTGTAGTGTGTATTTTTTGTGTAGTGTGTATATATTTTTTTAGTGTGTTTTCAGTGTAGTGTATGTATATTTTTTAGTGTGTATTTTCGGTGTAGTGTGTGCTTATTTTTTAGTTGCGTGTATTTCCGGTTTATTGTATGTAATTCTTGTTAGTTTGTGTTTTCGGTGTAGTGTGTGTAAAAGCTATTCACTCACGATCTGAAAAAATCGTATACTATATAGTACACAGATTTTGGGTAAAATTGGTGGAACGCCCAAAAACTTTTCCACTATCAAAATCACAAAAAACTGTATGCTATAGTGCATAAATATTTGATAAAATTGATGAATCGTAAAAAAAACTTTTTTACGATCATAATCACAAAAAACTGTATACAAATTTTTGGTAAAATTAATGGAACGTCCCAAAAACTGTTGGGAATTATTTTTTTGACAAAACAATTGTTGAATTGTTGAAATTATTTTTTTAATATTTTTTAATAATCAAATATATATTATAGAAGATGTTTGTCACAAGTAGTTAAGAAATAATCCATCTAAAAATTATTTCACTAATTTTGAATAGTTGAACAAAATAACAAAAAATCCTATACTATAGTACACATTTTTTTGAATAAAAATTGCTGACCTGTTGAAATTATTTTTTAATATTTTTTAACATTCAAATATATAAAATAGAAGATGTTTGTCATAAGCAGTTAAGAAATATCATCTAAAAATTACACTACTAATTTTGAACGGAGGAACAAATTCACAAAAAAATGTATACTGTAGCACACGTTTTTTTGGTAAAAATCGATGAAATTTTCAAAATTATTTTTTTATATTTTTCATACCCACATATACAGTATAGAAGATTTTTATCATTAGTAGTCAATAAATAATTCATCTAAAACTTAGTCCACTTATATTGAACAAGCCAGCAAAATCACCAAAAAATGAATACTATAGCACACATTTTTTTTGATAAAAGACACTAAGTTGTCAAAATCTTTTCTTTAATATTTTATGACACTCAAATATATAAAAGATGTTTATCCATAAGCAGTTCGGACAAGGAAATTATCAATCTCAAATTCACTTCAAAACCATTGAAATCAAAATTTTGTCCCTAGTAGCTAGCATGACAACAAGATCATCAAGTATATCCTATAACCTCCTAGTATCACAGAAATTTAACAAACGAGGATCAACGAAAATGTAAACTTACCATACACAGTAGCTCAACGAACTGCCAAAAAATAAACTATAAATTATCGAACCATTTGTCAAATGTTTAATCAACTATAAAATTAGAGCAAACTCTATACAAAAAGACCGTCTTAATACATTTAAAGTTTGCAGAGAAAGAGAAAGAGAGACCTACACAATGGAAACACAACCAGCAATCTCTGAATTTTTATCCTGTTTGGTGCGCATTCATCACCGCTCTGTAAACAATGTCGATGAATTGGTCGTCCTATGTACAGATGAAGATCACGTTTATTTGATAAGGTTTTAATATTACAGGTGAGACAAAATTCAATTTTAGCGCACAGATTAAACCATCAATGCATAAATAAAGCAAGAAAACAAGAAGCATGCAGTCCTTTTTCTGGAGTAGTACATAGCATTCTCGAAAACAATTTAAAGAGAATTTGCTCGACTATAAGATGGATGCAACTTTCTCCGTCGCCAAGATGATTAATTCCTAATATATGTTTAGCAGCTACTAAAAGCCCCTCTAGTAGCACAGTAATTGTCAACATAAATTCCACCAATCCACCTCATGATATTTAACTCGAAGGAAAAAAAAACATCGAAAGCACCAGGATATTCAAATTCTTCCATGATAAGAGCATAAAAGGATCTTGAACAATAGAATTATGTTTAGATTGAAGATTACTATATTACTGAAGATATCATGAAACAAAACACATAATTCACTTATTTTAGTAACTGTTTAACGGACTAATAAATAAAAAATTGCAGATGAAGAAGGAAGAGCATACCTGAACAAGCATTTTAAGTGCTTCCTGAACTTTATCTCTGCTGATAGGTGGCCCAAAATTAGGTGTAGGAACAGAAGTTGGAGTGAGGGACAGTGGCGGTGTTGGCGGCGGAAATGGCTGAAGCAGAGGTGCACCGTAAGGTCTTTGTAGATTTACAGGAGGATTCAGTGGAGGTGCAGTTGGCATAGATGATGAGATGGCAGGAATAATCATTGGAGAAGATGAAGGCGGTGGTGGTCCAAAAAATGTTGATGGTTTTACAAGATCAGTCGATCGCTTGGAACCATTACTTGGTTCAATGCTTTCAAGAATGGACATTATAGGGATAGAGGTAGAAATATTAGATGGCGTTTGGGGAGTTGTCAAAGTGGGCAGAGCAACAGCCTGTGGTTGAGAAGTAGAGGTAACAGCTGCAGAAGAGTGGTACTGCTGCCCAGAAATTGCTGCATTTGGAGCACCTACGATATTCATAGCAGTCTGCAAATATTCCATAATCAATATTATAACATGCCGTCAATTAAGTGATCCAAGTACCACCATTTAGCTAAGAATAAATGGTCTCTTTTTACATTCTTCATAGCTACAACACCCCCTTTATTTTATTCCTTTTTTAGTCTCAGTCTTTCTTTCCGAACCATCCAGTTATAGAAGTTTCATGATCCACTCGTGTGGGGTACAAAATGATCATCAATTTATAAGTGCACTTAGGTGGCACGGTAACCACTTTTGTAAGTGTATGCACATGACTTTATCAACTGCTATTTTTAATGGGTAAATAGGTGAATCCGATAGCATTTTAGCATTCTAGTAATTAATGTAACATGGATGGCCATTAGGTTGTCGTATCTACTAAGAAAAGCCAGTAAGAAAACATACGCTGAAGAAGTTTACAAAAGAAGGGTCATCAGGAACATCCGAGACACTGCCAGTAGTTGAAGATGGTGGTTCTAGAGGACCATCCATCACTGCCAGTGTTGGAACTGCTTCCAGTTCTTCAAACTCACTGCCAAAAAATAATGATATAAAATTATTAAATTGTTTTCTTGAAAAAGAGCACACTCCTAGAGTCTCTACAAGAGGGTACGCAACTACTTATGTCTGTGAAAGATGTATAAAGGATACAACATAAATTAACAAAAATGACTAAAGATACTCTATCTTTCTCTATCTAGAAAGTTACATCTGTAGAATTGATGGAAACAAAATTAAAATAAATCTATATTCGTATTTTTGACAGAGAAACAAATCCAAGAAGGGACAGTTTAATAAGTGAGTTATACCAAGTGATCATTTGATTAACTTGAAATAGAAGAGCAAAATGACTTATATAATACACCCAAACGTGGCAAATCAAAAATTAATTGCGTGTACAATTAATTTCTGTGTAAAAAAAACAATACAATAAATGAGCTGGGATCGGAATAGTTTCAAGCGCCAATGAGGTCAATCATTAACTCTATTTTCTTGTTTCGGTTCAAGAATCATGCTACTTAAGACTATTAGTTCTCGATAACCAATTCCAAGAAATTTCTGCGAAAAGGTCTAAATTATAAGCTAGCCAAACATCAATCACTTCTTAAATATGTTAACTCAATGAACTTGTCAAGGTGATCGCCTTCAATTTAATTAGACATGAATAAGAATTACCTTTTAGTAGAAGAAACTTTTGACTTTGTGGGCACCTTCGAATATGCATTTAGTATCCTAGAAATAAAAAAGACGGCGCGAACATGATCAAGTCCATGCCATAAAAAAATTAAATAAGTGATAAAACAAGAAAATATGAGAAGATCAATATCTCAATGATTCAAAGTAAAATCAGGTACATTCATTTGTTCTTAACTTATTTTTGTTATCATGGAATTTGTGAAAATGCATTTCATAAGGCAACGAGGCTCGGGGTTAATTTTTCAAGATCAATGTAACATTCATATACGGAATTGAAAAGCATTTTCTCAATCAAGCAAAGGCATTTATATGGTATGAGAAATGACAGCATTGGTCCTTTTTCTTTTATTTTTTGATAAATACAGCATACGTCCTTCACATAGCATTTTCGAATGAAAAAAAAGCCCTTTATTATCCGTTGAATTCCTACATAATTCAACTAGGGCATCGGGAATAAGACAATGTTGTTCAGAAATTGATATGGTATTGAACACACAAGTCGTGCCGGTAATTTACGCTTTATTGCCAAGATTGTATCCTATCTAACAAAACAGCTCAAACTTGTAAAGACGTATGCCACGAGGCAAACCCTAATTACATAGAAAACAGCATTAAAAGGAGTTGAAAGACAAAAGACAAACCATATGACATCAAAAAATCAGCTATTATATGTATTTAGTTAAATAGATCTCTCATTAATCCACCATGTTCATGCAAAAGGTCAAAGCTCAAAAAAATATCCATAAATCACCAAGTTAACCTTACTTTACCCGTCAACTGACACAAGCTATCCTAGTAGAAAACACGTTATGGCATGCAAAGGGGGAAAAAAAAGCAATAAATCTTTAAAATAACCAACCTGCTAAATAGATTGGCAACCTCTTCACATTCGCGAGCATTATAGAACCATATACCATTAACCTCCTGAGAAGCATTTCGATATAATAGATATGGAACCTGCACTTCATACTCAAAATCACCCAAAAGATTCTCCACCAGGTTATCTGCGTGCAAGGTCAAATTCAGACATTAATATACGGAAATAGGGTTTAAATAAATTGCACACTTTGACAAAATTCTTTATCTGGAACATTAAGACACGCGTCGTTTCAGTTTGTGGAGACGAGTATTCATATCTAGAGAATATACATCCGCACAAGATATTTGTAACAGTTTTTAAGAGTAAGTTAGTGTAATATCAATGACGATTTTCTGACAAACTAGAAGCACAAATACTTCATCAACATCCCAATTCCCAAATAACTTAACAAAATGAAAAGCAAATTAAGTGACTAACCAGTGTTCCGGCGATTCATTACTATAAACTGGAACCTTGGTTGAGTATTCCTGAACACACAAACACCATAATAATTCAATTAAATTTTCCAGATCCCAAATAACCTAAATAACCTAAAATTTTCATTGAACACAATTAAAAAAAATGGAGGAATTTAAGAATCCACCAATAAGCCCTCACCTTTTCACGACAAATAGGGAACCCTCCACATCCTTCCGACTCTGTCAACCAAAATTATTCACTAATTAATACAAAAACCCAAACGCAAAATATCAGATTCAATCAACACATCCTCGCTCGCTCAACCCACACACACACACACACACGCACACACATCTGAGTTCGCATTACCCATTGGCTAGTGTCGATGTTAAATTCGTAGAAGGTGACGTGAGCGGCGGTGATGAGAATTTCCTCCACAAATGGATCGATTCGCTGCAGCACCGTCAAATTCAGCACCTTGGTGGTCTTCTCGTCCAGATTCGGCATCAATTTTCCGTTTTGCGACATCGTTAGAATCACTCTCTCTCTCCCCACCCTTCTCTCTCTATATGTCTCTCTCTCTCTCTTCCTTATGAATTACAGTGTGTGTTTGTAGAGAGAGACACCACTCGGATTATTCAGTACACGAACAAAATCAACAGCAGTTTCGCCTCTTTCTTATTTTCCAATAGTTTTATCTCAATTTTGCCAAAATGAATATATTTATAGCCCCCACCCCCCCCCCCCCCCCCAACCACCCCCCCCCCAGTGGGGGTAATGAAGAGATGACAGATGTGTAACACTGTAGCTCCGTACTACAATTAAGTGGTGTCAGGGGTATATACGTCATTCTACAAATAAGTTTTGGAATTTTAGTATTATTATTATTATTATTATTATACTTGGTGAATTTTGTGAATTGCTCTAGACATCATAAACCCTTTCAATATACAGTTGTACTCCAAAATTCAATTTTAGGTGATGGAATATTCTCTCTCCATAAAACCTGTAAAATAGTAGATTCCAAAATGCAACAAAAGCCACAAAACTGACAGGGCTTATTACAAGCATTAAGATCTCCATACATAAATACTTCAATTAAATAATAAATAAAAGGATAATTAGATGCCCTCATCTTATTTAGTATAATCTTAATTCTACAAAGTTGTTTGTTGGAAGCAAATGAAATCGAAACCGAGTCTCGAGATTTTTTTCGTATCATTCGGTAGCCTTGCCTTTACGCCTGCCGTTAGTGCTCGTTTCTATTAAATAACAGACCATGGAATCAACATCGTCGCCGAAAATGCTGTACGCCTCAATCACCTGCAAATAACTGAACCCCATTGACAGCATTATCTGCATGCTTCCGTTAAGAGCTGAACCCGACGAGGCTAACTTACTCCCTCCTTCCATCACCGAATCCATTCCTGATGATCCTATAATTTAAATAAATTAATAAATAAATAAATATTATCGAATGTCTTCTTTGGGAATGTTAATGAGAAAGATAAAGATTGATTGAATTAGCTGTGATTAAATATGTTCGGGATTTGTGATTATACAATACTTGTATATTTTTTTAATTGTGTAATAATAGGCAATATAACACATAATCGAATCATGTATAGGTTTTTACTAATAGCAAAATAGAAAAATGCAATTTAAATGTAAGAACTCACTAGCTGAAGAAGAGGATGGTTCGGCTCGAGAAGTAGAAGATTCCCTACGACCCATTTGCTGCTTGAACTTGTCTTCCGAAAGATACTCAGCCCTGGATGCTTCCATCACCATCCGTTCGATTTCCTTCTCAGTCAGCTCAAGATCAGAATACAAACGCCCCTCCGCAAGAAGTGCCTAACAAGATGAACAAATCTCGTCACGTTTTGGATTGCATATACAAATAATAACACACATCATTTTTTTTATGTTCACCAAAAAATACTCACGTTATCAATCTGTTGATCTTGTTGAGCTTTTATAGCTGCTTTGACCTGATCTTTATCTATATTTGTCTGTCAAATACATCAACATTTGGTGAGTCAATTTATCTGAAAGGACATATATATACACGCGCGTGTGTGTTTGTGTGTGTGTGTGTACATACCCCTTGAAGAGAGCTGAATCCGAGTCCAGCGCCAACTGTCAATCGACGTGGATCGACAAGGGAGTTATAGTGATTTCCGTGATGGTAGCTTAACCTTATAGGGGGGGTGTCCGTATTGTAGCTTCCGTGGAATATATTGATAGGTTCTAGATTACAAAAAAAAAATCGATTAAATGCCAGACTAACTAGATAACAGATTCTATAACTAATTCATACACGGATGAAGCACCTGTACTGTAAGAATATATGTGGATAGGCCGATTGTACATTTCCGATAAAGCCTGGATCTCCATATTATTTCCATAAACCTGCACTCGTAATTAAACATGAACATGAATAACCAATTGCAATAAAGTTTCTGTAACTCGAACCTCTAAATTTATAGATGATAAAACTAAAATGTATGGAAATTGCTCTTTACTTCTAATCATTTTTTTTTTCTATAAAAGAGCAATCCATAACTGGTTAATGCTTTGACGGTACAGTTATGACAACCTTGATGCATCACAAGATCAAGTTGCAAGAACACCAAATACATTTTCTTGAAGACAATCAATTTTATTTTTTTACTATACCTTCTACAAATTTGCTTTCTTGAGAAAAAAAAGGATTGCCCCCACGTACCTTATCTCTTCTCTTCCTCTTACAATAGGAAGTAAAACCTTCTGTTATGAATTGCGAGAAGTGATCTCTTTCTCGCTCCTGCATAAACAGAAAATAAACACTTCATGTTTGCAGCATTAAGTTGGAGGTTTATCAATCCTATTTTTTGTCGTTACTCAAGTTTTTTGTTGTTGAAATAACCTCAGAAGAGAAACTACATTACCATCTAACATAATTATTACAACAAATATATTTTTCAGCGACTGCTCATAATATATATAACACCTGAGAAGTATATTATAAACTAACATTATGCTTCACATTATATCAGTCAGAAAATAACATATATTTTTCTATTCACGACTAGTGACAGCATATAGTGGACACAAACACAAACCAAAAAAATAGTTGAAGCATACGAAAACAGTAACTCTCGTACCATATAGTCAATGCACATTTGCCTAACCAGATCATACAGTTCAGAGTCACCATAGACTTGATCTGCAACAGCACGGAAAAGACAGTTCCCATCCTCTAGCATTTTTCTCACTTCCAAGCCTTAACCCGCCTAAATCAATCTCAAACTGGTGTTCCCTTTCCTGCAACAGATAATAAAAAAGAAAAAGTTCTCTTTAGTCTTTACCATACTAGTTACTATACTACTCGGCCCCATAACTGAAACGTGTGATAAATGATAATACTTTCAACTCCGAAACAAACTAAATAAAGGATAGCTTGCAATCTTAGACCATCTAGAAGCATACGTTATCAGAAATTTCCTTAAAAAATTTGAAGACATGAATAATCAGCAATTAATTAAAAAAAATCCTGCATTAATGAGAAATCATTAACTGGTTTGAAGCTGACTCACTGGTTTTCTATGAAGATTTTTGATAAAACAAAGCAATAGAAGAACAACTCGAGGAATGAACTTCCATGATCATTCCAATTGCAAACAAGACAAGATGAATAAGAAATTTAGAACTCACCGCATCATCGTAAGATGAACTAAAGCATGGGCTCTGCTCGTCACTGCTGTTATATCCTTCACCTTCATGCGACCGGGGCGAAGATGGACGAGATCCAGTTGGCGATGACCTGCTTGATACACCTCTCCAAGACGGCCCTATTCGCGCCGTATTAGAGTCGCCAGATACAAATCTTCTTGAACTTGAGTTCACCGAAAAAGGCTTAGTAGGTGGAACAGGAGGCGGAGGGGGATACGAACTGCCAGCAGCAGCCACCTGGAAAGAACTTGAACTTTCAACTGCATTGTTCTCCTCCTCCTCCTCCTCAACAACTGACAATCCACAAAACCCTTTCCCCAAATTCCCAGATTCTACAACATTATCATTATTCACCTTTTCATCCTCCACATTTTTTTCACCTTCGTTGTGATCAATGTTCAAACTTGCTGTAGGAACTTCTTCACTCTTGTTCTCTGCAGCACCATAATGCTCAGGTAACTCATCCACAATAATTTGCTCTGGGGATTCCTCTGCCAAATTCTCATCTTTTACTATTTGAACAATTTGTGAGGTGCCGGTAGCCTGCTGCTGAGGTGAAGAACTGGGATTGGGAACCGATGTCGATGTTGATGATTTATTTTGGTTAGATGATGATGAAGAACCTCGCTGCACTAGAATTCGAGTCATAATTTACCCTTTTTTTTCAGATGCCAAGAAGTGGATTGTTAACCTTATCTTCACCCAGTATTAGATGTATAAGGAAGCAGGCTTCAATTTGCCGCGTGTCCTTGCCTTTGGAGCAATCACACCAATTCCACTGGTGACTGATTTGTTCTTCCAGCCGACTAAGCTCTGTTCCTCGCAATTCAATTTCTGCATTCCCCTATCAATTCTCATCAGAGCTTGACCTCCAAATCGTTTATTCTTAAACTACAAAACCCTCTTTGAGAAAAAGTACTCGAATTTACCCGTGATAAAGCCCTAGATAATAAAAAAATCACCTCCACAATTTCAAACAACAATTTAGATACAAGAAAGCAGCGCATAAATCATAACAGCATATCGACATCGACTACAGAAAAAAATATATATCTAAAATCAGAAGAAAAAAATACAGCAACATAAGACACACAATTGAGTTTCAATATCTCATAAAAAGAACAAGCAATACGCCACCAAAATTATCAAATAGCGTAGAACAAAATCAGCTAAAAGAAGTAATTTTCACCACAAAACATCAACAAAATTCAAGAAAAAAAACAGAAAACTTCTAAATCAACAGATAGACCAAGCCCAAATCCAAGAAAGTAATTCCACGATTATTGACCTACAAATCAATTCAAGCTAGAAATTAGTGACACCTATAAATCGAATTCTTCAGGATTGCAATTCCCGGAGGACAAACACCAATCGAAACAAAATTTTGAACACAACAAACGCCAGAAAACGAACTGAGACGGATACCCCCAAAAAAAACCCCAATACGAAGCAGGTGAATTGAATTAACAAATCAAAAACCCTAGAATTGAGCCGGTTAGGAGTGAAGCTACTCACCTGAGCGGAGCGATTGTGAAGCAAGGGTTTTCAAGAATACGCCAAGAAGAAGATGATGACTTCAGGACAAAGAAAGTGTGTGTGAGAGTGTGGGTGTGAGTGCGTGCTGCGTGTAATTCTTTGTGTATGTATGTATATATGTATGTATTATATATACGGGTAGAAAGAGGAAATTCTTTGGGAGAAAAATGGGAGGCTGAGTTTTTTTTAAAGAAAAAAGAAAATAAAAGAGGGTTTTCAATTTATTTCATTTTTTATTACTCGGACAATTCGCACGTGTGCGTTTACACGAGCAATGTGTAGAGAACTAGATATAGATACAAATGAGAAGAAAAAGATTAGAAAATCGAAAAATCGAAAAACCGAGACACCAAGTGCGAAGCGAATCGTGAATAATTAAAAGCACTAGACATGGTCTGTGAATCAAAGATGGAGCTATAATCAACCCGAAAAAATCGAACTATATAGGTTTTTTTCTCCATTCTAAACAATTAATTACAGAATTGTCACTTAACGGTAATTAAAGAAGTGTCACTCGCTAAGTAATTATAAAATTGCAACTCGCCAAGTAATTACAAAACTACCGCTGAACATTAATTACAGAACTGCTACTCATCAACAAATTACAAAATTGTAATCAACTAGTAGTTACAGGACTGTCACTCAGTGGTATTTACAAGAAATTTATATTTGCATTGTGGCTTGGTACAAAAAAAAGAATCCTGAAACATTGTTAGAAGCTCTAACGAGATAATGCATTGGATACGTTATTCCGATAGAATTCTAACGGACCATTAGTTTCGGGAAGTTGTGGAGACAGCATAGAGCTAGGGATGATTGTAATTACCGATACTATAGGGACCTTAGAATTATTTTAGCATATCTCAGGGGTACGTGTGTAATTTAAGGCTACGCATACTTGATGATCTGTAATTTCATTTTCGTCCCTAATAAAATCAATTGTTACATGATTCCATCCACCACCAAAATACACAACGACATAAAATATGTGAACTTTCACATTCAAAGTGTGTGAAAGTCGAATTAAATTCGAAACAAACCCAATGAAATCAACAAATTCACATAATTAATTAAACATCAAACTATGATTATATATATTAAAAAAAAATTAAAAAGAAAAAATAAGTCCGTTGAAATCCTTAGTGACGGCGGTGAAGAGACACGGCGGAGAGCACAACCAAGAAAATGAAGATGACAGCCGCAATGAAGGAAGCCACCACCGCGCCGCTAATACGCTGGCAGAAGTCATTGAACTGCTGGCAAATTGCGAACCAGTTCGTCTTTGAGTTTCCGTTGTGTGCCAAGTACACTATCGCCGCCGCTGCTGCCGCTGCCGCCGCCGTGAAAGCCACCATCGCCTTATATATAACATATACAGCAGAACATCGATAAATTAATAGTTGATAAATCAATAGCATCGTTTAAATAATAGTTTCTTCTGATCCCGATTCGGTAAGAACCTATTAAATTATTAGTTCGATAATTTAATAATTCGCTAAATTAATAAAATTTTACTACCTCGATGGTATTAATTTATAGAGGTTTAACTGTATATATACGTATGTAGTTTATTTTATTAGATAAATTGATTCAGAAGGTAATTATATATATTACAATGTCAAAGATGAGGAGGAGAAGCTTAATTCCGGCTGCATGAGGACGAACAATTCCGACAATGGAGAAAGGCAACGACAAGACTAAGTATCCACTAGCTATAGCATTGGCCACCACGAAAAACCTGCATTTATTTTAATGTTATATTAATTTTAATCGAAGTATTTATAAAAAAAATCGAGCGATATGCATTAGATTAGATATAGATATACGTGAAAGCGGGGAGGTCGTCGTAGCTGGCTTGGAACTGGAAGAACTGAGTGAAGAAGGGGAGAGTTTCATCGGTGGTTCCCATGGTGGTGGTGGCGGCCAATGCAGCCACGAGACCGCTAATCCTCAGGATAAAATCGAAAATGGCAACACCTCTCTTCCACCCGCCACGTGGCGGTGGTGGTGCCGCCATCAATGTAGTAGTATGGGCAACATTTTTACCTTTGGTGGACTTGGATTCAGGAATGTTGATTGCTGCTTCACCTTCTCTCTTACTCGAATCCATATTTGATTAGCGACAAAAAATTTCCGTCGGTAAAACGCTGTTTAATTTCTTTTAATTAGAAGAGAAGTAGTAGAGATTATGTAATAAAGTGATGAAAATAGGAATTTATATATAGTTGCTATTGTTGTTGGATTAGTTTTGATTATATATATATATATATATATATATATATATATATATATATATATATATATATAAAAGGTTTGATCATAGTATAGATAAATGTAGGAGAGTAGGTATATTTGTTTGTGGAGGAGTTGGTTGTGGCTAGCTTGCTCCACCTTGACAAAGCTTTTCATTCACTTTGTTACAATTTCATTTTCATTATATCTATTTAATTGTTATTTATTTGAATTTATATTAAAAAAAAAGGGGTAAATTACAACCACCTCCAGAGATAGAGTGTAATTACGAAAAAACTCATTTTCGGTAAATTGCATTCAACCCCCTGCAATTATATTTTTTTACACCCACCCTCTACAAACGAGTGTTAATGTAAGAAATCTACAGCTTGCAAGGGTTGGATGTAATTATGGAAAATTAGGGATTTTTTCGTAAATAAACCTTGCCTCAGGGGGTTTATCGTAATTATGGAACTCGGACCATTTGTATAACAAAACAAAATTTGTTTACATATTTTCATCCGATAAAGTTCCGGTCGAACTTCGAGTTCGATTGGGAAAAAAACCAATAAATTGTACATATAAAAGATCAAGTTAATCGAGCTTTGTTCTTGTTCCCTTGAATATAAGATCGTTCGAGATCCGACCACTAGATTGTCAATCAAACTTTTAAATTTCGATAAATAATCAAATAAACTGAACAGTTATGGATTTGACTCGACTCGATTCTTCTACGTATCTAGTACCGCTTATTAAATCAAATTTAAAAAAAAATCAAATTATTCGAGTTATTTATGTTCGGATTGATAAAACTTAAAAGTCGGATCGAGCTCGGTTTGATTTTTATTTACAAATTTACAACTAAGGTAGGTTGAGATGCCACTGATCTTAAATGCCACAATAACTATGTAGTAATCTGCAGAAGAAAGAAACGAACCTAAAACCCCTTAAAACCATGGAAATAAATGTAAAATGGACAAAAAACCATGCAAAAACGCCAGCTTTTTCATCGACACGATTTGTTTATATTTATTTTTCGACCGAAAAAAACGCCTATAAAATCCCACTAAATTATTCTTTTCTATAATAATTTGCAAGAAAATCATCAAAACCATGAAAGCTGTGAACCATGGTTTCTGGTTCTTGATGATAATGCTGTCTGGTTTTTTAGCAGAGAATAAGAATAATAATGTATTGGTTGAAGGTCATCATGCATTTTGTGATCCATTCCATAAGCTTTGTTTTAGCTTCAATTGGCCCCACCACCACCACTTTCACCACCCATTGCCGCCGCTTCATCACAAGCCTCCTCCGGTGAGCAGCACTCCTGTCCCGGAACCACCACCGGCGGAACATCCACCATCTCCGCCGGTTTATGGGCCAAAACCACCAACTCCGGTCCACCAACCACCGGAAGTTACTCCACCGCCATCTCCTCCGGTTTATGGGCCAAAACCACCAACTCCGGTCCACCAACCACCGGAAGTTACTCCACCGCCATCTCCTCCGGTTTACGGGCCGAAACCACCAACTCCGGTACATCAACCACCGGAAGTTACTCCACCGCCATCTCCGCCGGTTTATGGACCACAACCACCAACTCCGGTTCATCAACCACCAGAAGTTAATCCACCACCACCAATCACCGAAAAACCGCCTACTAATCCGCCATTAGTACCCAAACCCCCCATCGGCGGTCATCATCACCACCATCATCCCGGCCACCAACACCACCATCATTTTCCAAGAAAGCAACCACCGCCAATTCCAATTTGCCAACCATCTCCTACAACACCACCACCATCACCTCCGATTTATAACCCTTCACCACCATCGGTTCCAACTTATACTCCTTCACCAAACCCGCCTCCCGTTTCAGGACCGCCGTCCGTTCCAGAATACGGCTATCCACCACCATCACCACCATATCCATGACCTACTATCATCTCGTTTTTAGTCGTTGACTAATGAGAGTGCATCTGACAGTAGCGGTTTGACTTCCGAAATCATAAGCTTGTTATCGATGTATGTATGCTCTGCATAAGTTTGTCTTCTCTTGTGAAATTAGACTTCAATAAATATGAGATTAGTGTGTTTAATTTTTCCTATTTACCTATATATAAGATGCATAAAGACTCGATTTTTTTTACAGCAACTAACATCTAATCGAATAATTCACAGTCCATCTGCAAAAGAATCCAAAAACCATCCGAAAAAATCAACTCACTGATCATATATAAGAGAAACATCGTTGAACGATAAGTGCATTTTCAACTGTATATATATACATACAATTAAAAATTTCATGTTCTAACATCTATCTCACAGCAATTTAGCTATAGATCGTTCGAAAAACAATATTCATCAGAAACATCGAAAAACGTTACAGATCAAATGGCTTCGAGTGCCATATTACCCATCATTCTCGCCATGGGTGCAGGGCACTTTCTCACCATATCCAACTTAGAAGTAGTCGAGGCATGACCGAAAAGGGATATCCCCATCATAAAAAGCTCACCGACCGATAGCCTCGACGACAAAAACCCGTGCCAATAATGAGGCTTCAGCTCGAAGAAGGCATCGAAGAATCTCCTCGTACCATTCAAATCGAGTTTCAACAAAGTCTCCATACCGAAATTATAATATTCCCGACTGCATCTCCTCTCCAAAGGCCACAACCCGTTCCACGCTTTGTGATAAAGTGGGGTCCCTCTAATCATTCTAGTCGAACCAAGACACTCAGCGATCGTCTCCGCCAGAAACGGAGCAAGAGCCATCGTCTGAGCGACAGTGTAGCCAGTGGAGGGGTGCACAATACCCGAATTGCCCCCGATTGCCATCACGTTTTGAGGGATACGAGGGAGCGGGCCCCCCATCGGGATCACGCATTTTTCATCCTCGATCACCGCCCTCACCTTAATACCTAAATGCCTCAGCCTCGCCACCATCCGTTTCTTGATTTCGGTGTACGATAGCATCGGCCTGCTCACTAGTGAGGTCTCTTCGAGAAAAACCAAATTCGAATCGAACGGCATCGCGTACAAAAAAGTCGGGAACTTCGAATTGTGGGGTCGCAAACTCGGCTCGTTCCCCAAGTGGGAATCCCTCCAATCCATCAGAAGCATCTTGTCCAAATCGAAGGGGTGGCGATCCACCTCAGCTAAAATACCGTGAGCGATTTGATATCCCTGGTTCCTCGGTTTGTCGTATTCGACGAATTTGCTCGAGAAGCCACTCGCGTCCACGATCAAATCTGCCTTCAATTCGGTGCCGTCGTCGCAAGAAATCGACGACACAAACTCATCGTGGTCCACTTTCCAAACCTTGGCTTTATGAAATTTGACACCATTTGTTGCACAATCGGACAAGAGTTTCAATTTGAGATCTTTTCTGTTGACCCGGCCGTACGCCCGGTCCAAATACTTGGTTTTGTTGTCGTTGATGTGAACACAAGTCATGGGCCATGTTTTGTCCAGACAATCATCGAGCCCTAAGCTTTCGAACTCGTCAACCCAAACGCCGTAGTTGTTCGGCCACATAGAGAGGGGTGAAGGGTCGAGGCAGCATACCTTGATCCCGTGTCCGGCGACTTGCTCCGCCAGGCGGAGGCCGGCTGGGCCGGCGCCGATGACGATCACGTCGAATCGGTGGCGGTCGGCGGGGTTGAAGAACGGGATCTCGAAATCTAAAGATTCGGGTTTTGACTTGGGTTCCAAATCAAGAAAGGTGGAAAAGCTGCTGCTTTGGACTCTTTGGAGGTTTTTTCTTGGTGGGTTTTTTTTGGTGGGTAGGTGCGGAAATGGAGGCTTCGCCGGCGATGAACATGGTCGGGAAGTGGAAAGGAGGGTGGGTGGAGATAGCCTGAGAAGAGACGCCATGAGAGAGAGGGAAGAGAGAGAGAGAGAGACAAAAAAGGGATCTTTGAATAGCTGTTAAGAAAGAATGAGAGAGAAAGAGACATAAATAGAGGAATAAATGCTATTTGACAACCTAACTATGGAGTTCGGTTTCGGCCACCACCATTTCTACTCGAGAGAATCAATTTCATCGGCACTGGCCAGATATCCATTAACTGAAAATGCCAATTTTTGTTTGAAGAATAAATAATAACTTATTATTAAAAAATTTAAAAAAAAAGTCAACCTAAAGTCTAACAAACTTTGTGAATTTTGGCCATGATGTGGATGTAACAAAATTTTCGAAATTATATCGATTTTGATTTTAAAACTTTCTATTTTTTCATCTGAAAACTTTCTATATTTTAAGAATCATTCGGATTTTCGAATTTTTCAAAAAAAAAATTCGATAGCGATTAGGTTTTGATATTTTTTTTTTATTTTAGTTTCCGAACATGTATAATTTTAATATGATTATGTATATTATATTTTAGAAGAAAAAAACATTAATTTCTGCTGATTTCAATCCGAAAAGTTCCCATGTTCGGAACAAAAAAAATTCGTTCCAACTCCCGATTTTTATTTTTCAATTTTTTTTCTGGAACAAAATTGAAATCATTCCTTTTTACTTAAATATAACCCGATTCATTAGCGTAGCTGCGTAGGACGGCCATTTTTAAATGTGATGTAACACAGATCTGACGTAATAAATAAATTAATTAATAAAACTTCTAAATTCAAAGAGAAACACAGTTCACCATTATTTTGTTCTATACATATAAAAATAGCAGAGAATGGCAACAACAATAAACTAAGAAATCATCATGCTTTTTTCCCATCACACTAATTTACATCCAGAAAAAAAAAAAAAAAAAAAAAAAACATAACTGCGTAAATTTTCTCTTGGGCAATAGAATATTACCATTTGACATATCGAAAGAATCAAACTTGGATCATCAAACGGGGATACACTTAACCATACCTCAACATATAATTATTTTGATCGACAAGATGGTAAAGTTATGCCTCCACATGCAGCCGCGATTATGAAATATAGGAGGAAAACAATAAAACACGTCAGCACTGCCCTGTAAAACATAAAAGTTTAGAGTATATTAGCGATTAATCGAAGAGCCCAATGACTAATCGAAAACATCCTCTAATTTGATAATTGTTCGCTACTGGTTAACTATATTCAGCGATCAAGTCCATGAACAAACGAGAAACAATGTTGGTGCAGTTCTAGTCAGTCGTCAGCATTTTAAGCCCATAAGACTCATATATATTTTTTTTTAAATATTCACGTTCAAGATATAAATTCGAATAATTTATTTTTGCTGTGATGATTTTACCAACCTCTATAAATTCTAAATTTGACTTGATAAATAAAGATTATAATACTTACAATAGCTTCGCATTTTTCATCCATAGAGATTGACGAAGGCGCTTCGATTGTTTTCTGAAGTGAAACGCACTATCTTGCATGGTTGATGTTTTGTCTACAAGAAGCTCAATCCTCTCACCTCTCTCTAGGATCTTGTCAATGTTATCCACCATTATTGTTCGTACCTGAACAATGTCTCAGGTGTCATTATCATAGAAATGAAATAAGATCACAAGGAAGATACTATATTATGATGGACACAAAAAGTCGCATAAAAATTATTGGAAAAGGTCGCTGGATTCATATATTACTCCAAGATTATGAACTACTGCAGGCTACAGTGCTTCTGTGATCAATACATCTACAGATACTAGTAAAAGAGCCGCACATCTGATGCATATGGACAATGTTGTCTCGTGCATTATTTAGCAAAAATATTATTATTTCTAAACTACACGCATATGGATGATGTTGTCTTAAACATCTCCCTATAGGTATAGATTTATGGCTGCAGTAATTTCGAAAACTACATGCATACCTGTAAATATGTGTTTATTGGTACATGGCAAGCTTACAAGCTTAAATTTACAACATAAGAAATAATGTTAATAACTTGTAAACATCTTCGGATAGATGAAAGAGATTTACTTTGTCAGACACTTTAAACCAAATCTAACAGATATTGAAAAAAAAATTATCCATGCACATTTATAACCAGATTGTAACACACTTCACATATCATGAGCAAAAAGGACAAAGTTAGCAGCACAAGATTGAATCGTCAACATGAAATACATTTCAAGGCGTTCCAATTCCAGAAATTCTATCATAACTGAAAGGCCATAGCATTTTACATTTCTAATAAAGAAGTAGCTGGTTTGCTTAAAGTCAGAACATAAGATACTCAGACCAAACGACCACCTCGATTCAACGTTGGACTTCCACAACAAAACACATAACATAATCTTTAGTATACTTATTTCTTTCAGTTTATGAAGATGGCAAAGAAGACAATGTTACTTGCCTCACTAACTTCTCCTCTAACACGGTTGAGCGTATCTGCATTGGGATTACTGGAGAAAAACTCCATTTGCTGGTGCAACACTCTTGAGAATTCATCGTTCATAGCATAAGCAGGTGCATAAGAAGCCACTCTCCCATAGTTCTTCATAAATCTCATTTGAATATCCTCCAAATATGAAAATGGGATTCTTCCTGGCTCAGGGATAACATATTAGGGATATTTACAAATGATTTTGCGTGTATGTACGAAAATAGTTTTTCTACAAGTGAAACAATAATTTAAAATTCCCATTAGAGTAAACTTCCATAAAATAGAAAGAGACCAGGAGGCAAAAATAATAACAGTCGTATATAGCTCCAAATGAAGAGGCTACTCATAGTGAAAGATCCTCGAAGGATAATTGCCAGATTCTTCTTGTGTTCATGAAATTCTAACCTATAACAAATCCAGTTTCACAAAAGGTGCATGACATTATCACAACTTATTCACTAGTTGGAGAAGGAAGAAAAAAGTTATTTTGGTGGGACAAGTACATTCACATGAGAAGTCTATTTTCTAGTGACTACTTCCACACAGGTTCCTGTTTATTTAACAGACAATACTGTCAAAGACCAAAACATATTCACTGAAATTCTCAAACTTAGAGTTGACTTGTACTTCCGGACTGATCCATGTCAAAGCATAAGAATTCTTTGGTAATGCCATTCTAGAATAGAAGTATTTTCTTTAAAAAACATGTGAATCCGAGACTGATAGAATGAAGTAACATGTAATACAAGCCTGGCCTTAAAATATCCCATCTAAAAGGACTTTTTGCCTCAAATTGGCTCAACAAAATAAAGAACATACTTAGTCATGAGTGAACCAAACAGAGTACATTTCTAAATTCTATTATAATACAACTAACCATAATGCTTATTGGAAAAAGAAAAACATATACAGTCCCATATCCGCAGCTAGATTAAGGCCAATTTCACAGTATGAACGTATAAAATACAATACAAGATATGCCACAGAGGAAGCTTAAGCATACATGTAAGAACTAAGGTAATCAAAAGATACTCTTACTAATTATACTAGTACGAACTCATGAAATCAGCAAGATGTAAAAATACAACCACGGAAAACTCCATTCAATGTCAAATTTCAGAAACTATTGATCAATTGAAAACTAAAAAGGAAAACAATTGAACTCCGGGTTTCCTCAAAAAGTCAACTATCATAAAAACCAAAATTAAATTTTGCAGCCAAAACGTCAAACACAGTAACATAACCCACAGTCTGGCAGTAGCACGGAACATAAACCCTAAATCGCAAAATTAATTAATTTTTTTCATAACGAAATTCAACGCGGAAAAATCCGTTCATATTGCCAAACAGATAGATGCTTACTTCCGAAGGTGTCGTTGGCCATACAGAGGAAAGTAAGGCCATCAGATCGGAGGATGTGGAAGATGTAGCGATCCTGAGAGAAGCACAACCTCGTCTCAGCCGATTCGTCCACCAGGAGTTTCTCGAGTATCCGACGAACGACCACGCCGGTATTTCCGGTCACGGCGCTGAACTCCGCCAGCACAATCTTCCCACGCGCCACCAGCCCGAACAGAATCGCCATCCCCAATCCTTTGAGTGGATACTTACAATGGCAAAAATTGAGGGTTTCAGAAATTAATAATTATCAATTAATCAATATGAATATGATCAACTGAGGTGGATGGGTTGAGGAGGAGAGTTGGACCGGGCAGTCAAAATTGGAATACGGCGTCGTTTGGGAGGGTTTTGCTATGTTTACAGCACAGCTGGAAAAAATAAATGTGACAGGATTAGGAACTACAGAAGGCTGAAATACTAGAAAAATAAAAAAATATTAATAATATAAAATATAATTTAATTATTATTTTGTAATATTTTTGTTATAATATGTAATTTATAATAATAATAATAAATGAACTGTATAATAATAATAAAATGAACTTGGGCTCAAGTTCAACTATTAAAATAAAAGCTTGAACTCAACAAATTTTGCCTGAGCTCACCAAATTTGCACTCGACTCGTTCCACCCCTACTTCGGGAAAAAAAAATCCCCTCTTAGGTAAATGGTTAAGAATTAAGATACAAAATTACCTTCATTTTTTTATATTTAATTTTTTTTTTTTTGTTCTTTCCCCAAGTATGAGTCTAAGTGTTTAGGTACCATGTACCAGTCATTTTTTTAAAAATATATTTTTCATGATTTTATTAATTGATCACGGCTAGGGATGGAAATCGAAACAAAATTTCAAATTTTCCAATCCGAAGAATTCCAATTTTTGAACAATTTTTCCAATTCCAATTCCAAACAATTCCGAAAAACCAGATCGGAATTGGAAATACTTATCAAAATTTCGGAATTCCAATCCAAAAGTAGTTCCGATTTTGTTCCGAGTATTTTCCGAATATTTATTAACAAATGTTTCTAATGCTTGGACGATAGTACATCAAGAAATATTAAAAAAATGCAAAAAAAAAAAATTAAAATAAATAAATCAAGAACCAAAACCAAAACCATTCTTGGAAAAAACACACTTTTATAATAGCTTAATACATTCTACATACACACCAAAAAAGCAACTTACTTGTATATAAGTATATATAAAATAAAAAACAAACACCTTCAACCCTTCCATTTTTTATGATCACTAAACCAAAAAAAAAAAAAACAAAACAAAACAAACAAACATATGACAACACAAAAATCAAGTTTTTAGTTGTCTTATACTTCTTAAACCACCACCATAGGTTTAATTAAGGTATACCAATAATGGGAATAAAAGGGATGTAATAGCTAGATGGTGCAAGCCCCCATTCTCTAGGCAAAGGGAAGTCAACAGTCTTGGATGAAGCAAATCCATTGTCTTTGGCAATACATTTCCCCTTCAAAGGGCATGTGCTGTAGAACCCGAGAGGCTTGGCGGTAGTGAAAAGACTGCCCGACGATTCTCTGGCATTAGCAATAACCGGCGCGAAAGCATCCTTTGTGGAAACGAAGAGCTGGTGTGGGCCTCCCATTATTTTAGCCATGCAGTTCGACGGATTCTCCGATTTTGTCGGCTCGTCTGAAGGAAGCTCGGTTATGAAAGTGCCGTCTTCTTGCGTGTATGTTACAGCCAGTTTCTTCACTTTGTCGCATTTTACCAGCACTTGAACTCCTAGTTAAACATAGTAAACATGGCAAGAAATTTAATCAAGAACTCAAAAAACGATATTTCGAAAAAAAAACCGGAAAACTCGAAAAATGCATGCTTGGAGAGTTCGATGTAAGAATTTCGAATGATTATTATACCTGAGAGGTCAAAGTCTTGAGGGCAGTCAACGCAAGCGACGGAGCCCTTGAGGAGTTGACTATTGTAGGGCTCGTCAGCCGTTGCAAGAGCCAAAGTCGTGACGATGAAGAGAAATGCAACTACGAATAGATTGTTCGCCATTGGAGAGATAACTGGTGGAAGGTATGAAGAAGCACTGGTTATAATTTGAGAAAAGAGCAGCGCAGAGGGGCTTCTTATAAATATTGCAAAGAAAAAAAGAAAGTAAAGTATGGGAACAACATTAAATTAAATGAAGGGGGCCCGTATGCTTGAGTAGGTTGTTGGTGTTAGTAATAATAAAGACATACAGTAGCATGAGTAAAAACCCTTTTCTTGAATTTATTGAGAAAAAAATTTTAAAAAAAAATACAATAAATGGATCTGCGTATATCATGTGAGTTTTAGAAACTCACCCGAAATTGATTATCGGAATAATGTTTTCTTGGTCCGTACAGCAGCTCCATGATATTTGAGTATGTGTTTTTTTCTTTACACCATTGTTAAGTGTTAACTAACCATTTGCAGCTTCAGTGCTTCACCATTCTGCAAATGAAATTACCGACTTAGTTCGAGCATAATAGTGGTGTGGTAAATCATAAATGAGCAAAACAAAGAGTAAACAAGGGAAAACTTATCAAACGTCCCTCGTAAAATCGATTGTATGGCTGTAAACGTTACTTATTATTTTTATTTTTATTTTTGTTTCAACTATAACATCTTAACAATTAAGATTTCTTTGTTAACCAAACTATCGAAAACGAGAGCTTAATTATATTATTTTGTACCCATATCTTATCCGAAAGATATGAAATCTTGTGGGATCCCCCACACATCACCTGGAGTTTCAAAATCTCCCGCCATCACTATACATCATTTTTCCATACCCAATTCCTATAATAAATTGTTGACAAGTCGTTAAAACGTGTCGTTCCACTAGTTGGGTTTTGATTAAAACGCGATTTCGACAAATTAAAAAAACAGATAAACCAATATGCAGTAACATGTTCTGTAATAAGTAAACCAACTGCCTACCACCAAGAAGATTAATTCAAGAAAGCAAACAGATTTTCTTCTACTTCTTATGTCAGGTAAATATGGGTGTAAATGTGTAATTAACATTTTTGAGTTGTGTAATTCTATTTATTTTATTTTGATCAATAATTAAAAAGTGTCATGGAACAAGCAAGTAGGTCAAGCTTCCAACAACCTCAGTAAATATATTTGTCAGAGATATTTCCCAAAAGACCAGAACATTAAATCCATTACACAGGGTTAGTTGGTTACCTCTTTTCTCCACTGCACCACATTCAATTCATTTTCTTCAACTTTACCCTGAAAGAAAATTAATTAAATAAATTGAAATGCCCCATCACAGTTTTGTACAGTACTATACTACTGGTTGATAATAATAATAATGATAATAATAATAATAATAATAATACTGGGAAATAAATGGCATTTTTACAGATACATGATTGTCTGTTGAACATAGTATCTGCAGTGGATTGGAGATAAGATAGAAGTTTTATTTTCTTCATATTTGTAGGGCTAAAAATCAAATCACACTACTCGATACTTGATTCCAAATCACTAGCTAAAAATCAAATTTTCTTGTCTAAAAGCACAGATAATTAAAATTGTATGGCACATTTGTGCACTAGTGATTTTTATCCATGTCAATTAGAACATTTAAGATATATCACAAAAATAAGTCGATAATTCAAGCTGCTTAAAGTCGAATATTTTTAGGACATTTGCAGACACCGTCAACTTCAGAAATAAGCTTCTACCTTTAATTTCATGTTAAAATGCGTTAAAAATGGTTTATTTCATGTTAAAATATGTGTCCTTTTCAAAACATTACGAGCCAATAAAGGAAAACGGCAACAACAAAACTCTCACTTAATAAAGAAAATTAAAAAGATGTTGCCTTCAATAAAGGAAAACAAATTTTAGGGCAACACTTACTGGTTGTGCCTAATTCCTTTGGGCAGATGGTTCTTTCCTGATAAATGCTTCCAAATTCTGCAGCTCTACCAAAAGATGTTACTTTTTACATGTATACATCATATATACATACATACTGAATTGATACATAAAGATGGTAACTCGATTAGTAAAACCGTTATCTTGATAAGTGATCAATTAACCTAAAACTCTAAGGCCTCGTTTGGTTGGGGAGATTAGCCACGATTAACTAAATAATTGGACTTTGTTTGATGTTTGGTATCCCCAATAACTTGCCAGGTCAACCCGCAAATATTATGTTATCATGCCTTATCTTACCTTATCTTGCCTTTTAGAGAGAGTTTTTGTCGGACGTCCCAAGGTCCGATAAAACAATTGGGTTATCATTAGATATGTTTAATCTTATCCTGGCTACCAAACGAGGCCAAAGCCAACTAAATTTTGTATGTTCTTCCAAAAGAAGAAGCAACTCGTAACCTTAACAAGTGGTAATCCTTTACACACATTTATTGTGAATCTAACACAACTAGAACATAAGGCTCTTTTAATGCGTGTCATATATCTAAGTAAAAAATCCTACATCATCGAGCAATCTCGAGTACAAGTACTTGCGATGATTTTTTTTTGACTTGTCCTACGATCTACATATGTCTTATTCAGACCATATCTGTTCTAGATTTCCAGGACTTACCATATTACTGCTAAAATTTTGATAACAATTTATCTAGTCCTATCACCGAAAAAATATGTCTAGTTATTACTGTAATAACATTTCTGCAACAAAAAATTACAGCTGAATCTGTACAAGAATGCGTAAAATTGTTTCGAGACTCGAAATAATCTGTCACGTTTGATTAATAACATTTTTTTTTACCAGGACATATCAACTTAGTAAGGCAAATTAATACCAAGAAAACAGAAAGGGACAACTCCAGACAAAACTGGATGCAACTATCGGCCAAAATAGTCCCGCAGAGTATTTAGTAGTAAGTGCTGCTGTCACAATTCACCAACTTATTAAGGCAAATTAAGGCATGTCTATTATTCCGGTGCTATAATAACTACGTACCTCATAAATTTTCGGTGTGCTTTTCTGTTAGCAGTAAACCTTTTAGTGTTGTTAGCACCTTCATCTCTGTGAATGAAACTATAATAAAACCTGTGCTGCAGCATGTAGAAGTGGACATTACGTAAAAAAAAATAAAAAATAAGGATCCATGTATTTAAAATCAACCTCGTTTATGGACCTTGTTCGGCCACAGACTTACCTCTACGAGAGTATTCATTTTATTAAGAGCATATCAAGAACAATCAACTCCTTTGACCACGGATAAATGCAGAAAATTATGCTAGATACGAGTTATTTAACTGTCTGTTCGCATAGTGCATAGATCATGACCCTTATGTAACGAGGTAACTGTCATTTTGAACCAGTGACAAATCCTTATTATTAATTTCATTGTCAATAAACATATGTATTCTCCCACGCAAATTCGATAATATTGAAAATAAATGAAAATCGAAAGAAACAGTCACAATCCATTGTTCTTAACTGAGTAACGATATCAGAGTAAGTGAAATTTTGGTAGTTTCTTAAGTGAATAAAACCAAGATTAGTAAGAAAAAAAATCGAAAACATTTTCAGTTAAGAACATTCACAAAGAAGGAAAACTGAATATATGAAAATTAATAACCTCCTTCAACAATCTCGAATTGTTGACTCACGGATGCAAATGACCTTGCTAACGATTATCTTGATATCAATCATCATAATTGTTATCTCTACGTATACCTCTTTCCTTTATGTACACATGTTTATATTTTTAAAATAATATAGGATGTGGGATATGTTATCAGGAATCAGGATCAACTCGGAATAGAATTCCAACCGATAACCAAATAATTCACATCAAAGGTAGCATTCAATATCAAACAGGAACTTATCCCTTATAAACACCCTGTTTCCCTCAACACTCATCAAAGTATTTTATCAAATTGCATTTCTAACTCAAGGATGGACATGCCTCGAACCGTGAACAAGGATCAATTGACACTTGGAATTATCAATATTATAACCTCATACGTATAACAAGATTTTCTTCATATAACAAGTGAAATCAGAACCTTCCAGAAGAACCAAAGGTCCAAAATACATATACGGCAAAATGAAATTGGGTAGCAGATAACGAAGCAGGGCACATATGATAACATAAAGATCGAGGCCCAAACCTTTATGGAGCCGCCCGATTGACATTTCGTTTGATTTTGGATTCTTTTGTAACATAGTAGCCTCTTGCAAATACTGCCCTTTGCTTCCAGTAACAAAAAGCTCCCAGTTTATTCCAAGATCGACTTTGCGACACTTCTCCAATCCAATTTGACAATTGACATTGAATTCATAGTGAAGGAATCATTTGATGAGAAATAACACAAACATAAAAATCTTGAGAAATAAAGAATACGGAGTTATCGACTACATGTCAGTTACATGAATCTTCAGAATTCGATAAATGAGAAATTACTGGCTGTATAGTTTCTCAAAATCTTCAAAATCTCACCTAAGAGTTTCGACATAAAATCTTGCATCAATAACGAACGATAACTAAGGCACCAAAGATAATATCTTTAACAAAACCGAAAGGATATATATTATATATTAAAAAAAAAAAAAAAAAAAAAACGATGAGCAAATAAATGAAATTAGCTATTAGTTCAATGGACATTATGAACAATCTATCCCTACATATTTACAATGTAATTGAAAACAGATGAACCAATCAATCAATCGATAAATCCGGTCTTTCGCCAAATTGCGTTCCGCACCTGCCTGAGATCCATCCCCTTCAATGTCCGACCAGCCCCCTCCATTACGGAGCACGCCAGCATCGGGGAATGCCTAGCAGCGACCACCTCGTGCGGCGGCAATATGACGCCACTATCGCCATCCTCCTCTTCCTCCCCTTCAGATACAACATCTACAAAATCCTTCGCCCTCCGCCGCAGTGCCGCCGGCATCGCCGGAATGTTCACCGGCGCAGACTGGTTCCGAAGATGCGACCTATCCGCCTGCGGCGGCGGCGGCCGCGGAATCATGATCCTGGAGGAGGTTGAAGCGGCGGGGGAAATCGACAAGGAGGAGGAGATGGACGCCGAGGCGGATGCCTTGTGGTTGAACACGGGTCGGGCATCGGATCCTGAGTCGCTACTTGCCTTCGAATCGCTATTTAGAGCAGCCAAAATTCCGCGATTACTGCGTTTCGGGTCGGAATTGAAATTCGGGTGGGTCGGGGAAGGGGAAGAACTCGCCGAAAGAGTTGTAAAAATATCGTGCTCGGAGAGTTCAAGTGGCGGTGGGGTGGTGGAGGAAGAGGAGGAGGACGGCGGTTGTAATATCCCCAAAAATCTCTCGGCGGACGGAGGGCTACGTTGCTGGCGGAAACGGATAGCGGCGCCGACAAGCGGTTCCATCGCAGTGGTTTGTGTGATTTTGTTTGTGTGTTTGTGTGTGTGAGAGAGAGAGAGAGTGTGGTGGCGGCGGGGATTAGTGAGGGCTGGCAAATTATGTGTATATGTACTCCCGAGTGGGAGGAATCCTGTGTACCCGAGCTTACCATGAGGTTGATTACATGTGTTGTACGTTTGATTTTTATTGGACGCGTAAACTCAAAGGAAGGGAATGATTTGCTGATAGTGTGCATTGGACGTGGACCAATCGCAAATAATCGGATACTAAATGACCGAATTTAAATTTTAAAAAATATTTTATTTTTCTTTGCAAAAGCTTTTATAAATGGGGTAATATGCTATGAGCCCCTCGAACGAAACATAATTTGAACTAAATGACAAATTCAAATTCATTTTTTTAATTAAATCTTATAATATATGAGCCACATCCCTAATTTTTTTAAATCTCTATCTTGCACTTATACCGTAAATTATATAACCTACATAATCACGTTTCTCCAATTCAGATTTATTTCGTCATTTGGTTTCTCTCACGTTCTCTCTCTCTCCCTCTATCACACGTTCTCTTCTCTTTTTTCACTCTCGTTTTTTTCTCCATCTCTCTCTCATCTCTATATCTCCATACCTCTCTCTTGCTAATTAATTCAGTAATAGCCGAAGCCAAGGGTTGTGGTGGAGGAGGAGGCAGCTGCGGGGGCTGTGGTGGAGGAGGCGGCGGCGGCGGACAGTGGTGGTTGAGATGGCGGCGAGGTGTTGTGGGCGGCGGCGGGGGCTGGGGTGGAGGAGGCGGTGGCGACGGGCTGTGGTGGTTGAGATGGCGGCGAGGTGTTGTGGGCGACGGCGGGCTGTGGTGGTCGAGATGGCGGCCGGCTGTGGTGGTCGAGATTGCGGCGGGGATGTGGTTATGGTGGAGATTTGATCTTGATCTTCAAGAGATTTTGTTTGCTTTGGGTTCAAAATCGTAAATCTAGGTTTTCCCAAAGTTGATAGGTTACGGTTGCGACGGCTGCAGATGTTGGCTGCTAGGGTTTGACATTGACGGCTAGGGTTGGCGAGGGTTGTGTGTTGTTGGCGGCTAGGGTTTGGTAGTATACCGTGGTAGACCATAGTGCACCGTAGTATACCATAGTCTACTATAGTATTACAACAAATAAAATATTAAAACAAAAAACGAAATCTGCTCCTTATGAAAACGAAACCTGCTGAATAAAATATTAAAACAAAAAACGAAATATTAACAAAAACGAAAAAACAAGTTTTGTTTTGTAATTTTTAATAATATTGTAGAATTTTTTTTTTAATAATAGTGTAAAAACGATAGTGCACCATAGTATAACATAGTACACTATAGTATACCATAGTATTTTTGAAATATGCTGAATTATTTAACAAAAACAAGAAAAAAAATCGTAATTTTCAGAAAAATGTTATACATAAGAAAAAAAAATGTTTATAATTATATAAAAAATGCAGAGTGTAAATTGAAAAAATAAAAATGAGTGAAAGGGCATTTTTGTAATGAATTTAATAAAAGGATGTGAAGCAAATGTTTAGTTGAGCTTGTCATTTAGTTCTAATTAGTTTTGTCACTAGGGACCTATATCTTAAGACCCCTTTATAAATAGACAGTGATTTATTTTTGCTCAAATCTATTTTTAAGTGTTGCAAAAAATGAATTTTTGTTTTTGTTTTTTTTTTTAAATAAGTACATTTAAGTTATAATTTGTTAAGCACTTATGACACTAATTTTCTCTGAAGTTATTTTTCAATAAATTTGTGCACCCCCAACTTTTAGAAATAAACACTTAAAACAAACTTAATTCACGATCTATAACTTATGTTTTTAAATAAGTTTTTGCAAATTCAACCTAAATTAGAAAATAGATAGAATTGGGTGGCCAATTGAAAACCGAACATAAGAATCGGACTTGAATTGTTAGATTTCAATTCGGCGCCAAACAAGCCGAACTCCCCAATTCAGATTAATGGGTTGAAGGTCCAATAAATCACAAAAATCAGATCAGGCCAAGAATTCGCTTAGTATTCAATATAATTATTATAGGATGATTTAGCACTTGAAATATTTGCTAAAAAAATATATTCTAGCAGTTCAGATCAGTAAATATTATTTGACTGAATTTAGACCAACAATATATAACACAAATGTATCCTGGATTAAGCAAACCGAATCAAAGTACAATAATTTATGTGATAATTTAAACTGGTCAATAGCAACAACAAGCCAATCAAAGTACAATAAAATCAACCTCATACAAACTTAATTGAAACAAATTAATAAAGTGAAGCAAACCAAATTGATCAAAGAATGTAAAAAATGGACACTTAATCCAAACAAATGATATTAATTATTTTTTTGGAATTAATTAAGGCTTGTTAATTGCTCGACAAGAACGCCTAATCTCCCCCTGTTTACCCGTGAGTACTTGGATCGAGCCCAATTTGACCATAGCTTGTCCGAATTTCGTCGAAAAGTCGAATCCATTAGCAATGGCCGAGACGGTGGGCTTAGTAATCGGGTCGAGAGCCAAATCTTGATCGATTTGTAGAATCCCTCTCTTCGAAACTATTTGCCTATAGTACGAATTATCAACCGTCAATGAACTCAAAGAGTTTTGATCAAGATTCACACTATTGTCGACGCCACTAGTATTGTTCTGCGGGCATCTTTGTCTCAACGATGTAAGTAGATCCAAATCCATATTCGGGTCGGGTTTACCCGTGTTCTTGAAATTGTAGAGGCGGTCGCGGAAGAGGGAGCAGTGTGTGATTCCGACAGTGTGACCACCTTCAAAATTAAATTAAAAATTAAAAACCGTGCTAATGGGGAGTTTTGTGCTAAAAAAAATGCGTAATGGGGAGTGTTTAGCAAATTTGGTATAATAGAGGGGTAGTAAATGCAATAAACTGTAAGTTAGTTATTACCTAGAAGATAAATCATGTCAATGGGAGTAAGTCCTTTCTGAGCAAAGGCTTTGATGGAATCCGAGACCGAAACCGAAGGAGACGGAAGATTCACGTTCTTCTCTAGAGACACCGCCCCGTCTCGTCTCCCCGTTTGTACGACGTATCTTCCTCCTCCGCCCTAATTGAATTAATTTCAATATTATTTGTAAGTTTAGTTGGAGATCGAAATATTTTCATGCATATATGTTATCATAATTACCAGAGCGACGGCTTCTCGTGTGGCAATGACTATGATATCAGCACACGAAACGAGGCCAGGGCAGATAGCTTCCACCACCGATTTAGCCGCGTCGATTAATTCGTACCCGCGCACGCTTAGATTGGGGATCGCCGTTTTCTCGCTGTTGCTTCCGTCCAGGAGAATTGATGCATCACACCCCTTTAATTTATAATAACAATGAAAAAAAAATTATTTGATGACAACGCACGCATGCATGCATATTTACAACTATATATATATATGTGGCTAGAAAAAAGAGAAAACAAATTAAATATATATGCCATTTATTAATCATAACTAATTGGAATTAGAAAAAAAAATGTGAAAATGAAAATGTGAGCTCACATTGACAAAGCAGTCGTGGAATTGCATGCGGAGGAGCGCAGCGGTTATGGTGGGGTCCCTCTGTTGGAATTATTTCAATAATTATGTGGGCTCACATATGTGACGTAAATGTGTATGGCTATCTTAAAGAAAGTCCAAATTAATTGTGATCTGATAAAGGTTATTGGGTTGGACTTATGGGTATTAAACTATAATTATGGGCCTAATGTGTAGAGACAATTAGGGCTTAATTGTGATTTATTGATGGGGCTGAATCACAATTATAATATAACTGGACTCTACAGTTATATAAAGGGTCGTGGTCCCCAAAGAAACGCAATCATTCCGTCTCTTCTAAAATCCATCGTTAGAGAGAAAAATAAGGAACTGCGGATTCTTTGGAAGACCTGTCCCAGTCAAGTGGAGATTCGAAGATTTGATTCCGTGATGTAAGGTACGCTTCCGTGTTTATGTTTGTGTCTAATTCTCGTTGATTCAAGCATGTTGGTTCTTGGGAATCGTATGTATGTACGATAAAATTTCTAACAAGTGGTATCAGAGCCACCATGTTTTGAATCATCGATAATTTTATGTGTTAAAGTTCTCGTCAAGTTGTTACCATGAGAAATCTATGTTTTCATGGATTTAATTTTCAAAGTTTCGGCCAGATATTTATGTGATATACAGTATGTTCTGAAAATTAGTTTTTTAATTTCGAATTGCCAATTTGTAATTGAATTTCTTATGTGAATGTTATGAAATCTGCTTTATCGCATTAGTTTTGTTTTGAAATTAGGGTTTCATTAAAATCTGAATTCTGAAGTTTAATTCAATTACGTGGATTTATTCAATTGTTCCGCTTATGACTAGTTGTGAATATGACAGATATTAGTTTTGTTGTTTACGATTTCTTTGGTCCAACCTTTATGGTTGAAAATTCGGATTAGTTTATCTGTCTAATCTATTTGGATTAAAGGTAAGGTTTAAGGTATACATCTGAGAATTCCAAATCTGAAATTTGGGGCGGCGGCCATCAGGTCGAGCCTGCTGCACCGTTTTTTTTTTCACTACCGCCAATTTCATCGGCCGTCGTCGACCACCAACCACCAACCCCTTCGCTTCTTTTCCGGCATCCATTAGGTGAAATGGGCGGATTGCGTGTGCTCATATTATTACTGATGTCGAGTGGCGTGATTCGCCTAAAGGAAAGCCGGAGCGCCGACGGTGGATTCCGACGGCGTTGATGATTGTGGGTTGCGTGTTTCCGGCGGTGGTATGTGGTATTGATGGTGGCGGTGGAGTTGGCTGTATGACGGCGGTTGATTTGCTAGAGGCGCAAAATTAGGTTGATAAAGTTCTAGCAAATTGCAACTTACTCCAATCATTTTTCTGAAATTACAAATTGACCCCATATTTGGGTAATTCCTGATTTTGGGCTGGGGTCAATTTATAATAAATGAAAATCTGATTTTGGGCCCAAAGCTTTTGATAAGTGCATTTCAGTCCCCACTTTTAAAGTTTCTCCCAAAACAGTCATATATTTTTCAAAAAAAAATATATTATATATCTCAAATTTAGTATTTCTGATCTTTGGTCCCTTTTCACTCAAATGCTTTTCTTTCAAAATTTCAATTCAGTCCTTTAAGTTGAAAGATTTTCTGGTTTTGGGGCAAAGGCAATTTTTAAGGAATAAAAAGTTAATTTAAAGTTTTAGGGGCCGTTTAAAACATTTCAATTATTTTGAGGGACCAAACTAATATGTGAATTCTTTTAAATTCATTTCAGGTTTGTTTGGTCAATAAAGTGAAATTCATTTTCGATTTTCTAAGGCTAATTTGGGGACTTTTCAGATGATAAAGTTTATGCCGTTTAGACTTAATTTTTTTGATTACTGGGTCAAAATTAAGGATACAAATGAATTTTTAATTCAATAACGTTTTGATCCATTATCATTAATCGTTACCGAGTCAAAATATGGATTGTGGTTATTATTAACCAAATAAGGATTGACTTTTTCGATATTTGACTCAAGGCTTTTATTTAAGTCTAATTAAGTTTATTGATTTAGTTTCAATCCATATAAGGTTAAATTTCTTGGTTAAAATTTTATTTTGGCCACTATCTAAATAAGATTGAATTGTGAGCCCCACATTATCTTTAGCTCAAATTCAAAATAAAGATGGATTCGATGTTTTCAATTCATACTCATTTATTATGAATAACCATATTACTGAGTTTGATTCGAAAACAATACAGTGAGGCAACTTTAGTGTTGGATACAACCTGTTAGCGCTCAGGTGATGTCATTAGAACCTTAGCGTTCAACAACGACTTTAAATTTTTGAATAATTTTTTGGATACATCTAATGACTTGTTATTAAGTTTGTCTGACATTTAAAAGAACTAATTGAAGCATGAAGCCACCCTCGTGACCTCTCTGCGTAGGTTAGCTTATTGAGAATGTCAAGATGATTGTGTGTATGTGAATTCATGCGAATATTAACTATACCCCTCGGTATGTTGATATTTGGCCGAACCACATATGCATATGTGGTAATAAATATGTGATGGTTGTTGGGCTCCATGTGAATGATAGTTGCATCCCTCGATGGACTTATTATTTGACAGGATTTACTATCAATGTTTGATTACTACAACAAGAGTGCCACTTACAGTTAATATTATTGTCCCCTCGGCTTGATATTAATGTTGTGCTAGGCATCTTGAGATGTATTCCATAATTATTTAAAGTTTTCAAAGTCAAACTTTGGATCATAATGTGAGCATATTGATTTTATTTACGTTCTCTATTTCATTTTTTTTATCTGCTTATACATTATCTGCCTATAACACGTTTGTGCTTAATTGCACAAATATTTTTATCATTATTATTTATTATGGTGCATAGATCTTAATTTTATTTTATTTTGGGTAGAACAATAGAAGAACCTAGAGTATATCATCGTTCTAATACTAAAATTTAAGATCATTAGGTGCATCTATTTTAAATAATTTTCGGGGGCATAAGGTTTAATTAGGGCTACGTACTAGAAGGTTCCTTAAAGATAGTACGGATACGTTTTAGTTTAAAACGATAAAGCTAGAACAAATTAGATTTTAACATCTATTGTTTAAATAAGGTATAAAGAAAAGGAACATAACTAAGCACATTAAGTAATAGTCTAATCTCATTTTCAGCTATAGCACTTCAGTTAGTGTGGTTTCGCTGACTTGAAAGTGGATATGGTTTAATTTATTTTTCTCTGTGAACGGTCAATATAAGGTTTGCTGTAAAACATAAAGAATAAAACTTTGACCGTTCACACGAAGAATAAATAATTAAGGGAGAAAAGACTAAGTGCTAATTTGACTAGTACATCTTAAGATAAATCATTATAATTGCAGTTTACATCTGAGGTACGTTGAAAAACGTAATTATGTTTGTTTCTCACTTTAATTTGTTCTAAAATATATTTCGACTTTGTACCTAGACACATTTAGTGAATAGATCCTGGGTTACACTATTCACTTAAGTGTGTGTATAAAGGGTTATTCACATAACCAACATTTAATTGATGTTGAAAGATATACATCTATAAAGATTATGTAAGCATTTGGGATTGAGGCTATGAGGACTCTTAGGTTTCTTTTGAATTATGAAATAGACATTTGGTACCGTCATTAGATGGATTTAAATTTTCTCTTGAACAAATTTGGTTAGCTTGTTCATTTGAAAACATTAAGCTTGGTCTAATTCATAATTCAAAATTTTGACCTATAATTTAAGTAAAAGTCTCATACAGTAAAATCTTACATAAACAATTTAAAATGGTACAAATTTCAAGAATAGAACATTCAAGGACATTCAAAGAAGTATGATAAGTCATTCTTCTTTGCTAAGGTACATTTAGGAGAAACATTAAGTGCTGCAATATATTATTGTTTAAAAGGGGAAATTTAAAATCATTTAAGGATGTTGAGTTTGAGGGGAGAAATTTAGATTATAGACATTGTCTTTAAAGATGAATGAATTTGATTCCTAATACTGCTTTTGACAATGTACATGTCTTTATACTTGTCATTGTTTGAAAAGTAGATTTGGAGATTTGATAAGACAATGTTGAACAATTCCCCAATCAAGTCTTGATAACTGTTACTTAAAGAGCAAACTCAACAACCTTAAAATAATAAAGCATTCAATATGAGTTGAAATTTAGAATGACAAGACATTAGGATCTTATCAAATTGCCATAAGGTGTGAATTTGGTTACAAATAATTGAGACCAAATGTAATTCAAATGGGCAATGTTGAAAGATATATGGTACGTTTAGTCATTTTAAAGATTTCACTCATATCGACTCTATTAAGAAATTTATGGACAAAAGGAATATGTTTCTCAAATGGTAACATTTATGGAACAATAAAGTGCAACCATACAATCTTAATATTTAAAGATTTGAAGGATATTGATTGCCAACTAAAGTAGTCCATTAATGAAATTAAAATTCCCGTTAATGATATTACAATCCTAAGTTAATTATCTCATATGCATTTTGAGATAAATAAAGTTAATGATTGTACATACCCAAAGATCAGTGGGAGATAATCTCACAACAAAGGATATTGTTTAGTCTCATTTGACGCCCAATAAATATTTTTAAGTAAAAGAATGTACGCATTCGGTAAAAGCGTCCATAAAGTTAGGCAGATATTTGAATAACCCTATAAAGTGGATCATTTAGCAAAGCAGCCAAATGGGTTATACAGTAATTATAGGGAATGTAAGTTATATACATATGCTCATTTATCAAAATCATATATTTTGGGAGATCGTGTGGTTTATTCATGATTTTGATTTTTATGATGTGTATAAAGTATAGATCCATTTTGGTTAATGTAGACCTAAGTGATTGAGCTATTTCGACATAGGTGTTAAGCAAACACTTTAAGCTCTTTTCACGTTGGTTAAGAATTTATGGTAATTTTTTGCATCTTATTTGGGAATATAGCTATAAACTTTTGTCACTAGGCTGCACATTTTGTTTTGTATTAAAGTTATACGATGACAATATTTAACAGCTATAATTTCGAACAACAACAAGAGCTTGTGAAAGTTCTTTGTTGTTAAAGGTACAAAGTGAATACATAGAGCATATTAAGACAAACTCCACAATTGCGGATCCGCTTACTAAAGGATTAACACATAAGGTATTCATGAGCATTGCTCATGTAGGTGTTATATCATTTAAGGATATTTTGGTTCAGTGGGAGTTATAAAGACATTTTGGTAGCTCTATGATATGTTTGGACACAATTTTGTGTATTAAGTTTTCTGCAGAAATAAAGTATTTGGTTGCGCTTTGTACAATTATGTTAAGGTTTGGTCTCAATAAAGTTTAAAGTAGGACCAGTTGGAAATAGGCATGTTAAGATCACATTATATGTAATTTCCATGCTACACACCATGATTTGATCTATGTCGTTTGGCTATATTGGTATACGTGATTACTGTTGGGTTTAGACACGCTCAATGTGACGAAAGCCTCTTTAGTCCTATATTTAAGTATGGTCAATGGACGAGATTGTAAGGAATACCTTTTTATATGATAGCAATTTTGAGCTCATAAGGTGTACACATTTATAAGGTATATAACATATGTGGCCCAAGTGGGAGATTGTTGGAATTATTTCAATAATTATGTGGGCTCACATATGTGACGTAAATGTGTATGGCTATCTTAAAGAAAGTCCAAATTAATTGTGATCTGATAAAGGTTATTGGGTTGGACTTATGGGTATTAAACTATAATTATGGGCCTAATGTGTAGAGACAATTAGGGCTTAATTGTGATTTATTGATGGGGCTGAATCACAATTATAATATAACTGGACTCTACAGTTATATAAAGGGTCGTGGTCCCCAAAGAAACGCAATCATTCCGTCTCTTCTAAAATCCATCGTTAGAGAGAAAAATAAGGAACTGCGGATTCTTTGGAAGACCTGTCCCAGTCAAGTGGAGATTCGAAGATTTGATTCCGTGATGTAAGGTACGCTTCCGTGTTTATGTTTGTGTCTAATTCTCGTTGATTCAAGCATGTTGGTTCTTGGGAATCGTATGTATGTACGATAAAATTTCTAACACCCTCGAGTACCGTGCTTTCACCACCATGCCTACGATCGCCTCTACATCGGCCGATCGGCATTTGCCTTGGTAGAAACCTACTTGTAGCGGCACACTGCCACCTTGGCACTGCCCGCTCAAGGTGGCAATAACCACCAAGGATAATGCAACTAGTATTGCAGTTCTGCTCGAGCTCGACATTTTCTTTTTCTTCGAGAAATAATATATAATAAGTAGAAATTAATTAAATTTCTCTTATAAGAGGGGGGGATTGAATATATGTGTTAATATTGATTGATATTGAAAGTAAATCACTTTTGGGATATTTATATGATGAAAATTTGTGTATTTTCATTAGAACGTGCAGTCCTCTAACTGTGAAATCAAAAAAAGAGTTAGGTATTTATAAGAATGTTCATGCACATGCACCTTATCTAGCTATATATATAACTAATTATTAGT